GTGGAGACCGGTCCTTTGGATGAGACCGTATAAATCGAGGTCCCGTGTCGCAGTAGGTGCTGGCACAAAAAAGATCCCCACTGCTCAATGGCCGTAAGTGCAGAGTATAGGACAAAATTTGCAGCTCTCCACCGGCAAGTGGTGGCGTCTCCATATGAGTGAAAAATTCTCCAGAGGGACGTTAAACAACATACAAACAAACAAACAATCACATTACAGTGAACCTTGCGCGCATAAATTCTGCAGAGTCAATATTTTTTTGGAATATCACCTGTAGTCAAGCAATGTCGACTGTTGCTATCCTGGAGGGTGTGGCTTCATTATTCAGCGGGTAATAGTGTTTTTAACAAATGTTTCTTGATGAATCAGATTCAACTAATTTACATGAAAGTATAATATTAAAAATTATGACTCAGTCGGCCTTTAATCTATCTAAGAGTACTACAATAAGTAAATGTTTGGGTTTTTTAATACATATAATATAATACAGAACAATGTGTTTGGATATAGCAAAGAGACAATCTCATTTATGCAATATGTTGTAAAAATGACAATTTAAAAAAAAAAAAATCTTGGAGTGGGGGGGGGGAGGGGGGTCCTGAATCTGCCACTTTTAATGTACCCGAAAGTGGTCAATAAGTCACAACTTACTTAGGGAAGTCATTGATTACTAGTCTGATAATTAGTATGGGTTAGGAATTAACAAGACATATAGTATACACTGGCGGATTTAAAGGGGGGCGTGGGGGGCGCACGCCCCCCCCTAAAATTTTCAAAGTATGATATGACTAATATCAATAATGCCATACTTTGGTATATAACTAACCAATACCGCTATTTTTGTGCCTGGTTTTACTCTTAAAATACACAAAAACCCAGGAGCTTCCGGGGGCTTCGCCCCTTGGGCCCCCTCGATTCAAAGTATGATATGACTAGTATTAATAATGCCAAACTTTGGTACATATAAACTAACCAATACCCCTATTATTGTGCCTGGTTTTACTCTTAAAATACACGAAAACCCAGGAGCTTCCGGGGGCTTCACCCCTGGGCCCCCACCAGGGCTTCGCCCTGGACCCACTGGGGGCCTTAAGGCGGCCCCCAGACCCCATGTTTGAACAAAGTTATCCACGCCCCCCCCCTAATCACAAATCCTGTATCCGCCCATGGTATAGATTGAAATAGTAATACCTGCTTAACTGGGTTAGCAGAATAACAATGAAACTCCAAAAATTTTAAATACAGTCAAACCTTGATATCTAAGGATTCAAGATATCCAGGGCAAAATACCCAAAGAATAAGGGTTTTGGACTTCAAAATCCCTTTCAACATATCCATGATATTCAATATATCAGTGTCATGGATACTGAAGTTCAACTTAAGTAATTATTGCTTGAAAACTTGATATGTTTATATGCATATACACTATGCATATACGCATATGCACTATATGTTTGCACTATATATATACACAAACTAATTCTCATTAATTAGGAAACAGCAATATGTTGTTATACAGATATCATGATTTATCGAGTTTGGTGATGCATTGAATTCGCACATTTTAGGTAAATACAATGTACAGAGCTACAGTTTATTAGACTTTTTAATAAGATATCTTGTCGCCTGCATGACGCAGTGGTTAGGGTGTCTGCTCTAGAGTCGCGGAAAAAGGAGTTGATCCTTACGTCGCAGGTTCGAATCCCACTGCGGGTCGTGGAGACCGGTCCTTTGGATGAGACTGTATAAACCAAGGTCCCTTGTCACAGTAAGTGCTGGCTCGAAAAATATCCCTCACTGGCCCTGAGTGCTGAGTATAGGTCAACATTTGTAGCCCTACACCAGCAAGTGGTAGCATCTCTATATGAATGAAAAATTCTCGAGAGGGACATTAAACAACAAACAATCAATCGATCAACAAGATTTATTAACTGGAATGAAATCTATAAGACATCACGGCTTAAGGAAAAAAACATGCTTGTATACATGTACCATTACTTGCTAATAAAAAATAGGGTTGATAGGTAAAATTTTGTTTTTATTTTGTTTAATTTTTTTTTATAAAGGCATAAACATTGCAATTCATTTTTTTTAATAACAATTTGAAATTTTCGCAAAAAGATTGGAAATGAAAAGGGTTAAAAACATGAAGAATGCTGAAAAAAAGATTTTAGGGAGTGCCAACTCACTTCGACAAACATGTATCCATGTATTTGAGATATCAGTGTTCTAGATAACAACCTTCATTAAAAGAAATTAAAATCTATAACAGGACATGAATGCCTTACCCAGGATAAGTTTTGATGAAACAAGGAAAAAAGCATCAGGCTTCTATGGTTCAAAATCAGAGTAAAGGAGGAATGATGAGGTCAAGGTCAAAGGAAACTTTATAAAGGTTTGAAGTATTATGACACAGTTGAATAACTCTCACCAATTTTGTGTTATTGTACGTTTGATAGAAATATTATGAATACTTTCTTTAAAAAAAAAGAGCTGTAACTAAAATAAATAGTAAGATTAATGATTAACAAAAGGAACAGGTCATAATTTGGACACAGTTGAAATGTTATCACCAATATGTGTACTCTTAAAATACACAAAAACCCAGGAGCTTCCGGGGGCTTCGCCCCCTGGGCCCCCCTCCATTCAAAGTATGATATGACTAGTATTAATAATGCCAAACTTTGGTACATATAAACTAACCAATACCCCTATTATTGTGCCTGCAAGTGCATAGATAAAAATAAATTAAAAGATTTTTTAAGACTAAGCTACATGCAAAATAAGGAATAGCGAGGTCAAAGGGAAGATCAAGATAAAAAAAATTGACATAGTTTATCTCAGATATGTGTATAGATAAAAACATCTTGAATAATTTCTTTGAAATTGAGCTAAATGCAGATTGAAATAGTTGGGTCAATATCATAGGGGTCACAATAAAAAATTCAGGACACATTTGAATACTTCTTACCAACATGTGATAGTACACTGTATGTGTATTTGGATAAAAAAAAAGTTCCTTTAAAACTGAACAAAATGCAAAATGAAAAAAGCTAAGTCAAGGTAAAAAAAATGGACACATTTGAATAGTTCTCACAATATATCATTGTGTGAATTTAGATAAAGATATCTTGAATACTAAGTATTTCCTTTGAAAATCAGCTGAATGTTAAATTCAAGTGTAGTAAAGTCAATATCATAGGGATAGTCAGACTTTCAGAGGATTGTTGGAAACATGCATTAAATTATAATTATTTCTGATTTAATTGTAATATTATTTTGTTTAGTTTTGAGGATAGGGAAATCATATTCAACATTTTCTATTATATTGTCAATTTCTATCAGAGCCTTCCTATTTGTGGATTTTTTTATGCACTGTACAGCAAATACCTGACCATCCTTAGATTTATTTGCAACTTTTATGAGCCTATATAGCAGGCAACACATGTTTTTTCTTGGAACACTCTAGATAAACATACGTATGTACAAGTAAATATTTTTTGGAAAGAATTTTCAGCATAATGTCATGAACCACAGAAAGCATACAAAATAATGCAACATCCACTTAATAAGTATATTTGGCTTCGTATTCTTAATTACTAGGATAATTTGAATTGCAATATCAATTACATTCAAGTTTCCACAAATTTATAGTCCATGAATAAGAGACTAGGCAATATTATTCACCAGAGTGGGACCAGTGCATAACCATAGATTTATAAAGTCTTAAATAAATTGGTCTCATACCTTCCACTGCAGTGAAAGAATATATTTCCCGTCCTCATTTTGTATGAAAATTAAATCAAAGTACAATGTAAAGTTCATAAATACCCCTGTACATATATACAATATAATATGACCTTTAAATTTCTCCTTCATCAGCCATGTTGAGGCTGTGATATAGATGGCTACTACTTGAAGGGTATAGACTCCATTCAGTTGCAAAATATTTGGTGATTTCCTTTTCTAAATGAAATAATTTTGGGAATTTTAAACGTGCATGATTTTGGATATCATGCAATCTGAAAATGTTTGAAAGTTGTATAAAATCTTACTTGACCATGACATTTTTTATTTCTAAGGAAATATGACATGCATTGGATTGTTTTTCTTGTAATTCTAGCAGGGATATATCCACTGCAATTCAATCAAGGATGTAAAGAGATTTTCCTCTGGTAAATTGTATTCTATACATCCTCAGAGGCTGAAGCAGCAAGCTAACTTGTAATACAAGATTTGTTTGTATAGCAAGCCAGCTGGTGTAATTTAGTATACATGTACTATGTACAGCTTGAGCTGAAGGTAAAATATTGTGATGTCACAAGGCATAGTTAAAAAGCACTGGGGCCTTCTGCACACATGTATGGAATACAACACAGAGTAAATCCCCTACACCCTTGATTCAGCCTCAAGGTGTATGGAATACAATCCAGGGTAAATCCCCGTACACTCTTGACTAAAAGTATATTATTCTAAATCTAAATTGATTAATTAATTTCCTGATAATTTGATTATATTGATTAATTTGACAGTTTTGCATGGAAGGCCAGGTCTAAATTGTCCAAAAACTAGGAGGAACCTGTGATTTGAGGGTTTATTTCATGGATTTGAATAACTACATGTATTCATGAGTCTTTTCTCAATTCATAATAAAATCAGGGACCTTTATTAGGAGGGGGTTCGGGGGGGGGGGGGGCGCCAACTCCCCTGTTATAACCAAACTTATTCGTATAAAGATTAAGAAATTTTTATTTTGTTGTTGCTAAATATTGCATTTATATATTGTGTCCCAGGCCCTTAATCTTTAGACACTTCTGGATCCGCCACTGCCCTACAGTTACTGAGTTATATAGATTATGTATGTAGGGTCTTTTGTTGTTAAAATGACTTGTCCCACCCTAAAATGGCCAAAATAAGTACCTTTGCCATCATACTTTGCAACTGTCCCACTCTAAAAGTCATAAATATTGCCTGCATATTACAAGATTTTCACGTTTCAGAAATGTGCTGGTTACCGGAAGTTCACAAGAACCAGTTAAGCGAAGGTAACACCCTACAACATGAACATGAACTGATGAAGTTGAACTGATCACTGAGACTGCATTGCGTATGAAAGACAGTTTTGTAAGTATTTGTAAGCTTTAAAGTATAAAAATCTTCTCTTGTTACTTTTGAAGATGGAAATTTAGAAGATGCTTGAAGTTCATCGTATGTACTGTGAACTTTGGAAAGTTGTCACTTAGTTGAGAAAATTCGAACTAGGTCAGTTGTATGTGTCAATTTTTCGGAACGATAATCTTTATAGTGTCCGTTTTATTCATTTTTTATACACGTACAATGAACACAGTTGGGCCTGCATTACAGTCTATCCTTGTTTGGGATTGGGAAACACAGAAAAGTTACAGTGTCTGTTTAAGGGTTTTTGGTCAACTCGTAACCAGCCTCGTATGATCGTATCTAGGTCAGATCTCCTCCTACAAGTAAGAGCCTCGGTTAAACGTCCCTACGCTCCTTATATACCTCGGAGCGCCAAGTCAAAAGTATATCGCCGTGAACCTCTAGCATGTTGAGTAGATCAGATCAAACCCAATAGGTCAACTCATATTAATGAAACGACAAAATTCAACTCGTAACCAGGAGAATTGTTACAAGCTGACTCCCCTATATAAATTGATGACAACTCATAACTTAACAATATTAACAATTTATTACCTCTTCTGAGGTCAACATGGTGAAATACAGACCCAAGACTTGGTCTACGAGGTGAACTGACCTGACCATAGATAGAATGTTCTATCATTAAAATGATAAATGTCCTACGGACCCTGTTTAATGATAGAATGCATTCCGTGTATTGTCCATGTAGCAAAGAAAATACGGGAGATAACTCTAACTTTGTGCATTTACTATGAAATATCCTGAGAGTTCTGAATGTCAACATCTTGTGTAAATTTGAAACGAGTAAAAAATGTTGGTGAAAAAGTGTTGAATTCTTCCATTATATGGATTAAATTTTTAGATGAAAGGTATTTACAGTCTCAAAAGGTTTTTTATGATTAATTTGACTGTTATTTTCAATGCAACTTCATTAATTTTCTCCAAAATCATTTTGGAGCGATTCTGCAATTTTCTGCTATATTATTGGTATATGGGAGGGATTCTAACTGTAGTGAGGGCCTGTCCCAAGACACAGTTAGATTATTCTAATTAACCTGAAAAAGGCCACGTAGTGGCCGAGGTCATGTCTGGTTAGCAAGTCAGTCATGTCAAGGGTCCTTCTTTTCACCATGTGGAACTCATATGGGGTATCAATTGTTTTACAATACCGATAAGAAAATTATATATTATACACTTGAGTGCATGATATTGCATTACATTACCAATGTTTTTTGAATGGGATCTTGATTCGCTAGTGAAGTTGTTTATGCTGACTTCTGCAAGTTATGTTAGTTTTTGCATCATGATTTACTGATTAAAACAATTTTTGATTGACAGTAACATGCATTAAATTGTTATGCCCTGTTCACACGGAGAGTTTAATTCGCAGTAAATTAATGCTAAGTAAATAATGTGAATTAAAATAATGCAAATTAAATTGTGTTCACACTACAGCTAATGCGAAGTAAACTAATGGGAATTAAAATTTTATTTCTACAGTAAGGCTATTCAGTAAGGCTATTATGATGTCATTTTCAAATCACGTCGCCTTATGCGCAGCAAACCCATATTACATTCTGTCATAGTCTCTATGCACATTTCAGTGATTAACATAATTTTTCTTTGTTTTCCACTAAAAAATAGCATAAGTATCCATATCTGTCCACAGACATGTGGCATGTGACTTAATTGTGCCATTACGCATGCGTCAAAATTTAATTCGAATTAGCTTCGCTTAGCGTTCACACGGAGCTAATGCGAAGTAATTTAATGTGCAGTTAATTAATTTGAATTAAACTAATTCGCATTAAATTCCCTGTGCGAATGCGATTCAAATTTAATTCGCAGTAACTTATGTTTATTCGAATTAAACTCTCCGTGTGAACAGGGCATTATAATTGAAGTGAACTTTTACTGAGCAAAATGAAAATCTGGTGCAGAATTTTACTATAAAGAAGAGCCATGTCTGCATTTCCTGGAATTGTAACAAAATTTTCAAATGATTAAACAAATAAATTTTTTGACTTATAGGCCCTAGATCTGTTGTATTCCGTATCATAAACAGACAATGCAAATTTTATAACACACTTTTTTAACGTATAATCATTATTCTATGCATTAAGTCAGGGATCTAGATATACTAACGGGATAGGCATCTCCTTCAGTACCATGTTTACTCGCCCAAAACACTACAAGTTTTTCAAACTATGTTTATTCTCAGTAAAAAATTTGTTTTCCGATAAATGTAATCTGTTCTTTTTGTTTATTGGAATGGATATTTAATAAATTTTAAAGTATACGTTGTAAAATAATCTAAATGTAAAGCAAATTACCACCAAATTTTGCAATTCTCGGCCGATCAGGGGTATGTGTTGATTTAACATGTTTAAGTGATTCAAATTAAGAGATAATTATGGGATATTCCAAATTATTGACTCAACGAAATTTAGCCTATGATATTTTCTGAAAGAAGAACAGAGGCCAGTATATATATATAATTATAATAGTAACTTGATCCGAAGAGCCGTATCATGTCAAGTTGACATGCACAGATCATCAGATCAAATTAGTTTGATCTGATGATCCGCGCCTGTCAACGAGACGTAATACGGGTCTCAGGATCAAGTTACTGTTGTAATGATAAATTTATTATATACCCCTTTACAACTAGCAAAATATAATAAAAGGAAACTTTTAGGATCAATTACATAACTTTTATCCGTTAAGCAAACCATTTTATCAAGGAACTTTTTGATCCGTGAGAATAAAAACAGCATTTATCTGTGTCAACTCAAAACCATATATGTTTGTATGTTAACATGTTAAGATTTGAATTGCCTTGGGTACGACTTGACTATGGCCATATGACATTGGGTGGCAGGGGATAGTTTCATACTATAGATTAGTACGCACTGTCAAATTTCTTTAAAAACTGAGATATCCCCTGATTGATGTGATATTTTATGTAGAAAAATGAATAGAATAATTATGGGATACATGTACATGTGCAGTGTAGCAGAGCTTGCTGAGAAAAATGATGTGCATCATGTAGGTGTCACTCTGATGCTTAGCATATATAGAGCTGTAAATGCGAAACTAAGACATTTGGTCAGTCGCAGAGGAAATTCAGCTGAAAAGCAGTGGTGTGCATCTCAGAGGGAAGGTGAATGGCCCCAGATCAATTGGTGAATTTTCATTAGGGCATGCATTGTTCTACAGAATACTGGGTGTTTTATCCTGCTTGCTCGGGAATGGGATGGGCTGTATAGGTGCAACAGCAGCCCAAATCTTGGAAAAACAAGCCAAAATCTTTGGAGACCTCCAAGTTCATTTTCGGTACATGTACACTTTAATATGTAGGTTACATGTTATACGTTGACACATTTTTTGAGCTATAGATATATGAAGTGCAATTAATTAGCACCCAAGAAACTGCTCCAAACTATGATCTGTTTTTATTGACCTCATGCATATGCCTACCCCCTCGGCACATGTTTGGCATTGAAAAGAAAAATTATCCCCTGCCACCTTGATAACAGATATGTGGAAATAAATTTTCTGTTTTTAGAACTTCATGGAGATTTGTCATCTATTACAGCAAGTATTTAGAATAAAATATATTTAAACCAAAATCATTTTTTAATTCCAACTTTTAGAGATCAAAGAGCGAGCCTAGATAATTAATTAGAATTTGTTAGTAATATGGTATTTCATTGTACATTTAAGGCCATTCCAAGTTTTTTCAATGTTTAGCGTCCGCGTGTGCCTTGGATTTTTTGACATCCCTTAACAAAAAAAAAAAAAAACCAAACAAACAAAATCAGGAGTCCTGAAATTGTTTATTCTGGTCGATTCACTGAATTCTGTCAATTTCTCTAAGTATTTGTCTACAATATGCCATATTTGGAATATTTTAAGCATTTAATACCTTGATTTTGCTGAAGAATAAATATTTCTATGAGAAAAATAGATGAATGGAATCATATTCTTTGAATGACATCATTTTTATGGCTATAATGACTTGTGTTTTACTTTTTGGTTTGTGTGTTTTTTGCGAATAGGTAGGGAAGTATTTGAAAGATGGGTGGATGCTAAACATAGAAAAAACTTGGAATGGCCTAAGGTAATATTTTCCATATGCATCAATTTCATAAATCTGTGGTGCAGCCATGCAAAATGACTTGATATTTTGGAGTTAGGAACCACATCAGAGGAAAAGTTTGTTGCTTAGCCAGTGGATGTCAATATGTTGATTGGTGGCTCTGATTTTATTAGGTCACCTGAGTCACTCAGGTGACCTATTGCTACATGTATCTGTTTTCATCCGTCGTCGTGCGGGTGTGCGTCTTGCGTAAACTTTTTACATTTTCAACTTCTTCTCAAGAACCACCGGGCCAATTTCAACCAAACTTGCAACAAAGTATCCTTGGGTAAAGGTAATTCAAGTTTGTTCAAATGAAGCGCCACACCGTCTTCCAAGGGGAGATAACTAAGAATTAGTGAAAAATTAATGGCATCTTTTAAAAATCTTCTTCTCAAGAACCACTGGACCAGGTAAGATGAAACTTATGTGGAAACATCCTCAGGTAGTGTAGACTCAAGTTTGTTAAAATCATAACTCCCAGGGGTAGGGTGGGGCCACAATGGACGATCAAAGTTTTACATTATAGGAATACATAGGAAAAATCTTTAAAAATCTTCTTCTCCAGAACCACTGGGCCAAGAAAGATAAAACTTACGTGGAAACATCCCCAGGTAGTGTAGATTCAAGTTTGTTCAAATCATGACCCCTGGGCAGGGGTGTGCAATTACAAAAATTAGTTACTAGCCTGGGCTAGTGGAAGTTACAAAGTTACTAGCTCGAGGTTGACAATCATCACTAGCCCATTAACTACCGAAAACAATACATGTATAAGTATAACAAAAAGGTAAAAAAAAAAAAAAAAATTTAAGTTGAAATAAATAAAACAAATAATGGTTTCCACTATGTTATTGTCAGGTACTTCTCCCTATTTTTATTGAATATAATTGTGACAGTCACTGAAACGATTGGCGATAGCAACACACAATACATATATGTTGAAAAGAATTAAAGATTATGATTTTACAACAAAGTTAATTCGTACATCAATTCAGTCGATGTAAATATACATATACTTTCGTTTCAGATTTACTAGCCCGACAGGCTAATGCAGTATAGATTTATGATAGCCCAACCTGTAGGTAGCCCTGAGCGTTGGGCAATGGTAATTGCACACCCCTGCCGGGGGCAGGGCGGGTCACAATGGGAGATCAAAGTTTTACATGGGAATACATTGGAAAAATCTTCTCCAGAACCACTGGGCCAAGAAAGATGAAACTGATGTAGAAACATCTTCAGGTAGTGTAGATTCAAATTTCTTAAAATGATGATCCCCGGGGAGGGTGGGGCCATAATGAACAATGAAATTTTTACATTGGAATATGTAGGAAAAATCTTGAAAAAATTATTTTCTCAAGAACAGCAAAGCCATGATTGGTTATATTTACATGGAAGCATCCTCAGGTAATATAAAGTGGGGCCACAATTTATGATCAAAGATTTACATATGAATACATAGGAAAAATCTTTAACAATCTTCTTCTCAAGAATAGCAAAGCCATGATTTGTCTTATTTATATGGAAGCATCCTTGGGTAATGTAAATTCAAATTTGTTCAAATCATGACCCCCTGGGGTAGGGAGGGGACACAACAGCTGGTGATCAAATTTTAGTTAGGAATATATATGAAAGATCATTTAAAAATTTTCTTCTCAAGAACAAGAAAGCCATGATTAGTCATTTTAATACAGAAACATCTTCAGGTGCTGTAGATCACTAAATTTTCGGGACACTTCATTTTTGCGAGATAGTCACTGACTCCTTATTAGCGAGACAGAATATTCACGAAATGTGTTTGCTGTATATAATCTTTAGGAATACTAAGATAAGTGAGAATGAAATTTTCACGAGCACACTGTCTCACGTAATTACGCAAAAATAAAGTTCTTGTGAATAAAAAGTGTTTAACAGTAGTGTAGATTCAAGATTATTCAAATTATGACCCTCGGGGGTAGGATTGGGGCATATTAGAAAATAAAACTTATAGGAAAAAAATCTAAATTGGGGACAGATTAGAACTTAATTTATGAGTTGTTACTGAATATTAGACTAATTATTTCGAAGATCATGATCATCCTATTTTTCTTGCTTTTGGGCAACAAATTAAGGTTCTGTCAGTTTATTTTATACTCTATGGATCCTCTATGGATTATTGTTTTATACTCACGTGACCGTTAAGGCCCTTGGGCCTCTTGTTATATGATACATCATGGATATCATTTAATTTCGATGACGAATACCAAGAGTGCAGACTGCAATGAACTTACAAACTAGAAAATCAGGCTTTCTTGCATTTTGTGGGGTCAGCCAAATGGCACAGTGCACATTTTACACTAATACAGTGGCTATACAAGCTATAATTTGGGTCCATTAAAAATGAATTTGTAATTTTTTTTATTTGTTTACCGAATAAAATTATGAAAATGTTGTAAATCACACTTGAAATTGAACATTCATGTGATTTAGATGGCAAATCATAATTATTGATTTTCGTTTGTGTCGGCATCCCGGTTAAAGTTTTAGGAGCAAGTCCATTCCCAAGTAACTATAAGCCGTACCTGGACCCTACTTACATGGATGATGCATCTAGGGATGGACAATACTAGACTTGCTTCAGATACTGGATCTGACCTAAATTTTTTCTAGATGAGTGACCAGGTTAAAGTTTTTGGAGCAAGTCCATGCATTTCCAAGTAATAAGCCCTACCTGAACCAAAGTTGCATGGAGGATGCACCTAGGGATGGACACTACCAGACTTGCTTTGGATGCTGGATCTACACCTTTATTTTCCAGATGAGTAATTATTAGCCTTACCAGAACCAAACTAGCATGGAATGATGTATCTAAAGATGGACACAAGAAGACTTGCTTTGGATGCTGAATCTGACCTACATTTTTCAGATATGTGACCAGAGTAATGTCTTTGGAGTAGCTCTATCACTATATGACATGTTATGATTAAACTTGCATGGATGACGAAACTAGGGATGGACACTACCAGACATGCTATGGATGCTGGAACTGACCTACATTTTCTTTATGAGTAAACAGTTTAAGTTTAAAGTTTTTACGAGCAGGTCTATTCCCATGCAACTATAAGTCCTACTTTAACCAAACTTGCATTGATAATTGATCTCGCACAAAATTGGTACAAGATTTACCTTACTTATAGATACACATGTACCATTCATTGAGCTTTGTAATCTTTGATTACCTATGTTTATATGTTTTAAAAAAAAAACTCAATAAACAGTTAACTTTTTTGTAAAAAGTATCACTAGTCAACCAAGAAACTTGTTTTCCCTTAGATCCAACACAAGTTTTGGTGGTCATTTGATTACAGACAAAGAATTGATTAAAATTTTAAAAAAATCTTCTAATATTTGGTCAATAAAATATTTCAGGAGGGATCATTTCAATGACAAAACAAAAGGTTAACAATGGTTTTCAAAAGGGTGTCAATTTCATTTGTTACCCTCCAAAACAGGCACCATTTATATAGTATGTTATGAATTAAAGCTTATGTATTCCCTGATCACATCTATTTTCAGAGAAGACGAATGTCACCTTCGTCAGAAGCAGATTTTTACTGCTAGGCTGGCTTTGACCAAAAAAGTTTTGAGATCAAATTTATCAGACTATAAAAGTAAGTTTATATTATTAATTTACTCTCAACATCTGTGGTTTTGTTTTGTAAAGTGGATGGATGTAGAAAGAATGATAATATTGCTTGAATTTCATATTTTTTCATTACATGATTATAATTTTATATGCTCTTAATTTATAGTTTTGTGCAAAAAAGTTAAAATCCAGATTGATCTGTATTTAAATTTAAGTTTGTATATTTTTTCCAAAAAATATTTTTTGTATAATTTTTAACATAAATGATGTTTAAACAAATTGGAAATACTGGGGCTGATTTTAGAGCAATCCCCTAGTTACAATATGATGTCACACAAAGACACATTTAGCAGAAGACTTATACCTGGAAAATAAGATCTCAGAATCTGAATTGATAAATTTTTTTGTAATATTTTGTGTCTATAAGTAAGTCTTTTATTGAACCTATTTGACCAAAGTGAGCATCGTGGCCCATGGGCCTCTTGTTTGAAGACAGTTTTAATTTTTAAAAAGTGATGTTGAATCTAAATGCTTTAATGTTTTAGACATCCAAATGGCTAGCTCAGATGTGGAAGTGGAATCGAACCCTTTTAGTTGGGAATTCAATGGAAATTCATTTGACAGTGATGATGATGATGAGATTAATTCAGGTAATATATATAAATATAATTATACAAGTTGCACTACCCAGTCTGCTGTTAAGCTAATTTCATGATATCATAATGTCATAAAGAGGGATTTAATATTTATCATGTTTATTCACATGTTTTTGGACACAAACTATTTTTTGAGGCGCATCCCTAACAGCGATGTGGCCTCATTGCAGTCGACCCCCATTTCTTTCTTTTCAATTACTGCGGCGACAAAGGACTCCACAATATTGATTCTAAATACGCCATTGAAAATAGAGCAAATGTATATTGACAAGTTGGTGATATTCATTGTCTATTTTAAATACCAAATAACATAAAATCTCACATATATATGTTGTTTATACTTTGAAAGCAACAAAGATAACAAAAAAGAAACAATTACAAAACAAAACAAAAAGAGAGAAAGAGAGAAAACAACAACAAACAAACATGTGCTACGCGGAGTAAGATCTATTTACATCACAACAGCTCTTGCCATAAATTATTAGGCCTTGTAATACGACATTGCTTGTACGAATATCTGAGAAAAATATACAATAATTTTATTTTATAAAACATCACTAACAGTAGGAACAAGATGGTTGTTTTTATAGAAATAGAAGGGATATCATTATTTTTTCACTTGATGAAACGAATAGTAAGATGTTCAACTGAATAAATTTTTGCAACAAGGGCCACCTTTCGCAGTCAAGACGAACTCTAAAAACGGCGTGAACTCCGAAAACGAAGTCTTTGGCTCCATCATGCATTGCGGCAAAATGGCGTCCAATGTAAACAAACGATGGATTGTCGTTCGCTTTCTTCAAATATACGGCTGCATAATGGTTGTATTTAGTGCATTGTGACTTTACTTTAATTTTTGTTGAATGGATAATTATATTTATGAAATTATTTTGTGGATATTGACTTATTTATTGCTTCAAACTCTTGCATAGTAGTAAATTGGATTATACGACATCGAATTCAATACTGCCGGTAAGAATTATTTTCTTATTTGATTTATTGTCTCCTTGATTTAAATTTTATGTTGTTCCTATGATATCTAGGTGCTTTTACTTGTTTTAGAAGACACCCAGCTTGTATGTATTTTAATTAGAAAATGTGCATTTTTCACTACGGAGCAGAGATATTCACAGGTTTATATTTAGAAGACATGTTGTGACCTTAATTTCTAGAAGAGTGGTTTTTAAAGATTTCATTTTGATAGCTAATAGTTTTAAAAATGTTTTCATAATAATATCTGTTTGTATGTGATAAAAAAAAATCGGTAAATAACCATGGTAAGAACTTACGCGTTCAATTCAGATGTCGTACACAAATAAAAATACCGGAATGCTAATATATGTGTAAAATTCAGTCAAGTTTTTAACAGT